ATAGAGCCAGTTGAATCTCAGGAGGCTGAAAATATTGAGTTTGAATTTTGAAAGGTTGAATTTTTTTTATATGCAGATTTTTTTTAACACTGAAAAATTAAACTGAAAAATAAGTATTGAAAATGTAATCACTTTGAAATAGTAATGTGAATTTTTAGCTTGAAGAGAAAATAAATAAAATTTCAACTGTGTAGAAATAATGACAATGAACGTTTTTAAGTCAAAAATGTGTTGTGAATATATTTTAACACTGAAACAGTACAAACATGCAACATTTAAATTTCAGTGGCATTTTTAATTCAAATCCCAGCGACACAGATTTACTTCCATATTAAAGTAGAAGCGTAAATGCTAAACGTTTTATGGAACGAAGTTTCTGTTGAGAGGCAGGAAATAAAAGCTGCTGCTCCCTCCTCCTGCAGGACTACCCAAAGCTCAGCCAGTCCTTTTACTCTCTGCTGGAGGTGCTGACTCAGGATCACATGAACTTCATCTCCAGTTTAGAGCCTCACGTGGTCATGTACATTCTGTCATCGATATCGGAAGGCCTGACGGCGCTCGGTAAGCTGCGTGCCTGTGGGTTTGGGGCTTGGTGTGTTTTGGCTGTTTTAATTGATGCGTGTTTGTGTGCGTCAGATACGATGGTGTGCACTGGCTGCTGCTCCAGTTTGGACCACATAGTCACCTACCTGTTCAAGCAGCTGTCCCGCTCCACCAAGAAGAGGCCCACTCCCATGGCAACAGATGACCGCTTCCTGCACATCATGCAGCAGCACCCGGAGATGATCCAGCAGGTGTGACCAGCGGCTGCCGTCAGTTCTTCCTCAAACGCGCTGCCTTGGCTAAAAAGCTGCTGTCTCTGTGTCCGTTCTGCAGATGCTCTCCACTGTACTCAACATTATCATCTTTGAGGACTGCAGGAATCAGTGGTCCATGTCCCGGCCGCTGCTCGGCCTCATTCTGCTAAACGAGAAGGTACCCCCCCTCCCCCACCCCCCAGGTCCTACCTGACTGAGGCGTCTGTCTAACGTTTAATGGCTTTCCTGCAGTATTTTGCTGACCTGAGAAACAGCATCGTGAGCAGCCAGCCTCCTGAGAAGCAGCAGGCCATGCACTTATGTTTCGAGAACCTGATGGAGGGGATAGAGAGAAACCTTCTAACCAAGAATCGAGACAGGTGGGTGCTGCCGCCTGTGTGAGTTTAAAGGAATAGTACACCCAAAACATGATTAGCCTTCATTTTCTACTCACCCCCATGCTGAACAACACCCTGGA